AACAATAGATTCACTGATCCAGAAGATAGGTAAAACATGCATATAGAATGTGCCAGTAAACCAGATGGGCTGTCAGGCAGAAGCTAATCAAGATATGCCTCGATTTGATTATGCCAATAGCCCTTCAGTATCAGCCAGTCCCTATTCAATGTTAAGCAGCCAGATAACTCACACTGTCTAGGGACAGATAGCTACTAAGATTTCTGGACACAGCAATGATCAGGAGTCCATTTTGAAACAGATTCAGTAAACATTAGTGTTATACAACAAACAGTACACCAAATGCCTCACAGCATGAAAATTCTGTGAGCCCGCAATGATTGCAGCCTAACTGCAGGTCCCCGGGTCACTAAGCAGAATCCTGACCCATTTCCATCATATTCCACTTCTGATTAGAATTGTGATATCCTGTCAGAATCCACTGGAAAGCAAGAAATAAATTTGATTTATTGAGGGGGAAAAAAGAGCAATAATAAAAATAATAGTGATCAGATACCTTGTCAGAGATATCATTATCCTTCCAGTCTATGAAATATGTTTTAGAATCCTTATATCAGCACTGGATAAACTAAGGCTCAGCAAGGGACAAAGACAGAATTCAAAGTTGAATCTGTTTGACTCCACAATCTGACTTCCTTCTAACTCTAACAATAATAATGTTAACATTGACTGAGAATTTACCATGTTTTCTCACATATATTTCATTTCTTTGTTCTACTTGCATATATCTCCTTTAATTCTTAAAAAATAATGCACTTTGTTGATTCCATTGTTATTCTCATTCCATTAATGTACTCACAGCGGTGAAGTAACTTGCCCAGGCCCCTTAGTTACTTTGTCTAGAGAGCCAAGATGAAAACAGTGGTAGTCTATCACCCCAGAGCACATGCCTAATCTAACACAGTACTATAGTGTAATGGAGACTCTGCTTCTGAAAAAATGGATCATGAATAAGGAAGACAGAAGAAGAGTCTATGCCTTTTAATTGTGATGTTGGAGAAGAGTACGGAGTATCTCGTGGACTGCCAAAAGAACAAACAAGTTTATCTTGGGGAAAGTACAATCAGGATGCTCCTGACAGGCATGGATGCTGAAACGTGGTCTCACATGCATTGGACATGTTGTTAAAAGGGGCCAGTCCTTAGAAAAAGACATCATGCTGGGAAAGGGGAAAAGTAAGAGAAGGAAAGAAAGACCCTCAGCAAGATGAACTGACACATTAACTGTAACAGTAGGTCAGAGATCCTGAGGATACGGCCAGGTTCAGATCTGTTGTTCAGAGGATCTCATGATGTCTAGTTGGATTGAAGGTACCTAAAAACAATGACAAACAGGTAGAGGACATTTAAAAAATGAATACACACAAGAATGGAATAAAATCGGCTCTCTTAATATTGAACCAATTGGATAATTTAGCTATAGAAGCAAAGGCAGCTAGCCCCAGTTCTCACCAGTAATTCTTTATTTCTAGATCCCATGAGACTAGATCATGGTATTGGTGTCAACATTTAGGCTTCTTTGAAAGGAAGCTAGCTATTTGGAAAGAATGTCTTCTTTTTGAGGATTTGTTTTACCTCTTTGGATAGCTATCACAATCAATCTGAGGGGGAAAATCCTGAGAAATTAAATTAGAACAGTTGCTCTATACTGACTGAGTTTTCTTGGACCAAACCAGCTCATAAATCTCATGAGTTTCACCTTCCTCTCTTCACTCATCTTTTAATTAGTCTAAATAAGCATAGCATTAGATCCCATTAGTGTTTTTTTCCATTGATTGAACTTCTCATAAATAAATGATGAATGACTTTTACAGAACAGAAAATGAAAAACAGACCCATGTTTCCTATAAAACTGTTTCAACATAGTTGTCTGGCTTGCTTTAGCAAAGCACATATTTTTAAGAACAATGAAAAAGAAACACAAATGAATGTCCAATTTTGAGATTTCTATTTCATTTCAAAGTCACACAATATTTGTGAAGTAGATGGAGAAGTTGCTTTGAGAGTTGGTTCATTGACCTAATATTCATTGGGCTTTCAGAGTTCTTAGCCATCAAGAAAGCTGCAATATTTGAAATCCAATAAGCCAGAACAGGCACCCTTGCTTTGTATTTCTTAAAAATACACTTACTGGAAGCACATATGTCATCAATGAAGGTATCATTAATCTTTAATTGTGGATAGATATTGCTCTGGATGTTTGATATCTAAGAGAAGATGGTGGTGGTGGTGGTGGTGGTGGTGGTTGTTGTTGTTATGTGCTGACGAGTCACCTGAGACTCATAGCAACCCTATGTACAACAGCCCTAGATCCTGCTCTATCCTGTACCAATCTTGTCTCTGACACACCTACCCCATTATCCCAGTCGCTGAATCAATCCATCTCATTGAGGGTCTTCTACTCCTGCGCTGTCCCTCCACCTTCCCAAGCATGATGTCCCTCTCCAAGAACTGATCCTGCCTTGCAACATGTCCAAAGTATATCAGACGAACCTTCAGAATCCTTGCCTCCAAGGAGCAACCTGTCTTTACCCTCTCCAGGACGAACTTGTTTGTTTACCTAGCAGTCCATGGTATAGTCAGTACCCTTCTCCAGCACCACAGCTCAAAGGCATCAATTCCCCTTCTTTCATCCCTAGACATTGTCCAGCTTTCTGATGCATAACAAGTAATTGCAAAGACCATGGGCCGTATCAGGTGCACGTTAGTATCCAGACTGGCATTGTTACTCTTCAGTACTTTGGAGAGGTCTCTGACAGCAAACTTTCCCAATGCAATAAGTCTTTTAATTTCCTGGCTGCTGGTACCAAGGGTGTTGATTGTGGAGCCAAGCAAACTGAAGCTGTTAGCAATCTCAGTCTCTTCACCATCCATCATGATGTTGCCAATCAGGCCAGTAGTGAAAATCTTTGTTTTCTTGATATTGAGCTTCCATCCATATTGAGGGCTGCAGTCCTTGACATTCTTCAGCAAGTGCTTCAGGTCCTCCTCAGTTTCAGCAAGCAGGGTTGTGTCATTTGCACAATGCAGATTGTTGATAAGTCTACCTCCAATCATGATGCCACATTTCTCCTCATAGAGCCCAGCCTCCTGGATGATTTATTCTGCATATAGATTAAAAAGGTCTGGAGATAGGATGCATCACTGGCACACACCCTTCCCAATTTTGAACCATGCAGTGTTCCCTTGCTCTGTTCTGGTGATTGCCTCCTGGTCCAACTATAGGTTTGACATAAGCACAATCAAGTGTTCTGGGATTCCCATTCTTCTCACAGTGAGCCACAGTTTGTTGTGATCCACACAGTCAAATGCCTTTGCATAGTCAATGAAACACAGATAGACATTCCTCTGGTACTCTCTGTGCTTTCAGCCAAGATCCATCTAACATTAGCTATAATATCCTTAGTACCACAGAGAAGGTAGGGTTGTTGTTTTTTTTTTTAATTAGGTGATTTGATGCAAAATATAGAGATCAATCTCCGACTAGAAGGAATATAATTATTTGTAGAATGGCATGACAGAATTACAGATCTTAAGAAGCTGCAGTACTGTTCTTTGTTCTCTCTCTCTCTGTCTCTCTCCCTCTATCTGTCTTTCTCTCTCTGTCTCTCTGTCTCTCTCTCTCGCTCTCGCTCTTGCTCTCGCTCTCTCACTCGCTAGCTCTCTCGCTCTCTCTCTCACACACACACATTTATACTGTATTCAGTCATTTTACTTTATTTCATTAGCAGAGACTTCACTGAGCCTCAGACACTCTGAATCCATATCATTAGAGAGATAACAAAAAATTCAGTTGGGAAAAATAATCCAAAGAAAAGGTCCACTTGACTTTTCATGTGCCATATATCTACCTCCTATCACTGTTACCAAGTGGTGAGTTATCATAATAAACTAAGCCTAGAAAACATACTAACTCTTGGCTACATATCGTGGGATATGTTTCTAAAAGGAAGAATAAGTTGAAGCAAAAATATTGATCATTCTATCCTCATCTATTTTGGATGATAAGAGCACACTGGCATGTGAAAAACAGTTTCTAGATAACATATATCATGGAAGGAAACAGTGAAAGAAAGAATAAAGAACAAAAGAGCACTATATTGGAGTGTAGTCCAAGGAATTTTATAAACTTGTCAAGCACAGGGATGGGTCATTAGACTACAAGATTCCAGAATCTAAGGAAATATCTTCTGTGTCCGATAGGCTAGCATTTATAAATAAGTACAGAAAGAGTGGTTCTGTGAAGGACTTGTTTGTGGTAGAAAATCATGGACTGGTGGTGGGACCACAATCAAGACTACATACCATGGCTATTTAGTTTGTTCTACTTTTGTACACAAGGGCAGCTCTGATGATCCAGTGGGAAAGGAGTTGTACTGTCAACCCAAAGAGCAGATGGGAAAATCCATCAACTGAGTGAGAGAGAAAGATAGGCAATCTCCTTCCATGCAATTTACAGTCTTTAAAAATCCAATGGAGGTTCAGCTAGGAGTTGGTTCCACCTTGAGGGCAATGAGTTGATGAGTTGACCTTTGTTCACAAGTAATTACTGCTTTGGATTTTTCAACTCTTTGCCAGCCTTTCATAATTTAGAAGGGAAAATACATACCACTACTATTCCAATTCCAATTTTACTAAGAAGAAAGAAATTGAAGGAGGATATAGCCTACCCCAGGTACAGGGGAAAACTTAGACATCTAAGATTCCATGTTATATGATTCCATGCCACGACTTGACTTGGTCTTAAGAAAAATGATGGAAAGGGGCCTGAGTGTATGACCTTTCTCTTATGAAATGTTTTGAGTTACTGCTAAGGTTCTTTGGATGTTGGCTTCAACAGGCAAGTGGCCATTTGTCTGGAAACAACTCCCTACCTAAGCATTCTTCATTTGTGCTATAGAAAGTGAAGCTCACTGCAAGATTACCATCAAAATCAGCATTCATAGAAGCAATCAATCATATGGTTTTTCTTTCATTTCTCTGTTTCCCCGCTTTTTCTAGATGATAGACATGATGTACTTTGTCATTATTATGTTGGTGGTGCTGATGAGCTTTGGGGTTGCAAGACAAGCCATTCTCTTTCCCAATGAGGAGCCATCATGGAAGCTAGCCAAGAATATCTTCTACATGCCCTATTGGATGATTTATGGGGAAGTGTTTGCGGACCAGATAGACCGTAAGCAAGTTTATGATTCTCATACACCAAAGTCAGGTATTTAACTTCAATTGAGTCATGTTGTTTTCAAGTTCATTTGTTTGTTCTCAATAAATGGCTCAACATAGAGGACTGATTCCTAGCTTGCTACCTTGGAGGAAAAAGAAAAACAATTACAGAAGGTGAATATATCATTTTAGCAAAGTCATCCTCAGGTGTTTCTGCAGGTATAACCTTTATGTCAAACAAATCAGCATCTAGTTTGCCAAATTTTATTAGGAAATGAACCATTAAAAAAAAACCCTTCAAAATACTTTTCAGATTCAAAATCTGAGGGCTGTGTGTCGAATTTATCAGGAATATATTTTGTCACCACTCTTTATCCTTACCCCAGTGCCCAGTCTTCTAAAAATAAAACCTTCAGGTTTGACTTTGGAGCAGATGATTCTCAATTTTGCCATCAGGATGCAGAGTGAGGGCAAACATCTGCCTGATGTTTTCCTTACACTGGAAACTATTCTCCAATTCCCTTTCCCACTGTCTTAAATTATGTGCTATTGAAACTCATAGGAAGCTAGTATTCTTTGCCTGCAAGGATGGAAAATGCCTTAGGTCATCAACCAACTCAGTTGCTATAAATGTCAGGGAAAAAGAACCTCTCTATCATGAAGTGACTCAGTATTAGGATCAAGTAGACCCCTGGTGTTTTGTACCCAAATAGGCGCAATTTCTCTAGAATAAATATTCCTGTTCTAGGGAGTTTGGACCAAATGTCAAAACACACTAAGCATTGGGAAATTATCTGGGAAGAAGGCACCAGGAAAGAAACATCTTTCCCTGTAGAGGAATTGAATCCCAAAGGCAACTATGTCTCATTTTCCCTGAGGAGTTTAGCTCTAGAAATAACATTTCTCCTGCACTGTTGAATTAACATTTTTTCAAACATTTTTTTTGCTGACAGGCTAGCCGTCTGAGCCTTGGACTGTGGACATGGATTAGTGTTATATAAACAGGTAGTACAGTTTATGAAGAACTCGAGCAGAGACTAGTCAGCACACACTTCCTCCCTGCCCCCTTCCCACTGCCCCTTACCTGTGTGGGCTGTGAGCCCCAAGCCTGTGACTAGAGTATGTACCTACAATAGCAACAGAACACATTAATATACCATCTTCCTTTCCTTGATAGATTTAGAGCAAATCTTTCCTTCCCAAGATGAGTTATCTGAGGCAAGCTAGGCCTTCTTGGAACACCTAATTGGAACAAATATTCATTTCACAAGACACAGCCAATTCACTAAGGAAGAATGTTAACTCCCTCTCCCAGTTGTAATGTCTTTGGTTGGCAATGTGTAGCTGTCACCAAGACAGCTCTCCAGTAGAGAGGAGAAATCCTTTTGAGGTCCTCTTTCCAAACAGTCCCCAAAGGCAAAGCAGCATACTTTAAAAAACCACAAATGACCATTTTCCTCAGAGATTAAATGTGCTGTATTCTCCCCTAAGAGATTGCTTTCCCGTTTAGTTCAATTCTTTTGCCTCATCTGGTTTTCTTTTCCTCCTCTAAATGAGATGAAGACCACCCCGCCCCCCGCCCCGCCCAAGGCTGTTTTGACTAAACAGTATTCTGGGGTGGGAGCAGGAAGAAGACATAGGCCTGTTTTATAAATGGGATTCTGTCTGTCCCTCTACAAGTGGCCATTTATTGATGTTGTACTATGAACCCAGCCTAGTGCAACAAACACCACCATCTGGCTGAATCAGAGGATTTATTATTGTTTTTTGAAAGAAGGGCTGATTGTAGTTTAGAACTTGAC